GCAGAGGACTAGAGATTGCCAAATGAAAAGGGTGAAAACATTTAAATGTATTTCTGGTATCGTTCTTTTCTGCACCCTCTCCAGTGTCTCTATACCCATTCTGTAATATAGCGACCAAAACTGCATATCATACAGTGTGGACTAACCAAGATTCAATATAGGTTTAATATAACATCCTATTTGTCAATACTATCCCACAGGAAATAAAGTGAGGTCTTGGTTTGTCTTTTGCACAGTCCTGTTAATCTTTGACGCAACATAGCATTGCTGCTACTTCAGAGTGACTCTATCACAAGAAGTAAAAAGCCTGATTCTTTCTAACACACATTCTCATCTCACAACATTAACGCTGGGTACAATGGCAGAAAGAGGCAATTATTAGGTGGTTGGCTGAATTAATACAAATCAGATTAACAGATGTTTGTTATTTTTGACTGTGACATTACTGCTGCTAACGGTTTCAGTAACATGTGGATCTGGGTTTGATTATCTTTATTGGTTCCTCTTTAAATCTTTCGTAATGCATCATCTTTGGCAGATTCCATGTAAACTGAATGCCTATTTCAAACCACCTCAGGGATAGTTTTTTAGAAAGGCAATTCAATTAACATTTAAACATTCTGCTGTTAATTAAGCTCATGTTATGTCATCAATATTACAAAATCTAGCATGAGACATTAGTCAGATAATATACAGGCATAAAGTAAACATACATCAGTGCTCTAGTGATGCATGACTGCAGAATAATCAGTAATTTAGCCTCATATAGGTGTGTCTCTAGGTACAGTGCTTACAACTAAAAGGTTAAGATTGAACTATTCAATAATTGTAATAACTCTGTAGGGTTTTATATCAATTCACTGGTGACATTTAGTATCTAAAATCAAACTGAAATAAGTAATTCAAAAGTTTCTAATATGGAATTTGTAATTATCATTAAGTCATCAGTGAGACAAATTATTTTTCCCTTATGGCTTCTTCATTATTTTTTCACAAAGTGGAATTCACTGTTAATTTTAAAACATTGAGGAAAAAGATCTTCTCGATTAACCCAAGCTATGGAAGTCTCAATTCAAAGGTGTAATTCTAAAATCACATCCTTTTTGGTGCTGACAACTTGGAGACCGTCATGTTTTTGAGGCTGACAATGTTATCTGCGATGCCATAAATTTAAAAAATGTTTTGCTTGGAAATATTCACAAACACAATTTTAATTCTTAAATCTAAACTAAAGAAGTTTGTTTGGAAGAAAAACACCACAAAAACAAAGCTGAATATGAATATAATAGTAGTGGTCAACATCAGCTCTATGCAAAAGAGTAATATATTTTTTCTGGTTCCTTTTATTGAGTCATATAATCATAGAGTCATGGAGTGTCAGTTCAAGAAGACAGCTCAGCACCACCTTCTCAAGGACAATTAAGAATGGGTACCAAATGCTCACCTTATCAACAATAATTACGTAAAGTCATAGAGTTGTACAGCACAGAAACAGACCCTTTGCTCCAACTCATCCATGCTGACCCGATTTCCTAAAGTAATCTAGTCCCATTTTCCAGCATTTGGCCTGAATCCCTCTAAACCCTTACAGTTCATGTACCCATCCAGATGCCTTTTAAATGTTGTAATTGTACCAGCCTCCACCACCTCCTCTGGCAGCTCGTTCCATACACGCCCCACCCTCTGGGTGAAAGGGTTGCCCCTCATGTCCCTTTTAAATCGTTTCCCTCTCACTTCAAACCTTTGCCCTCTAGTTTTGGACTGCCCTACCCTTGGGGAAAGACCTTTGCTATTCATCCTATCCATGCCCCTCATGATTTTTTTTGTCTTATTAATTTTCCTCTCTTTCTTCGTGAAGACATCTTATGGAGTACAACTTCAAGAGGCTAGCCATCATTCATGTGAGAGGAACAGCAGTGAATGCTAGCAGACTAATTGACCATGGGCAGTGGAGGGGAGCCCTCACCCAATGTCCATGTTCACGTCCTGTGAACAGGAGGGGAAATCCTTAGCTGATGCTCTTCTCTGGAACTCTCCCACAGTGTTAACAGCACAGTCCCCAAGCCAGCCTGGGATATTCCTGTTCTGTGTCAATGAATGTAAACTAAGGTTTTGATCGAGAAAGTAAGGAAAAACTGTTTTTGTTAGAGAAAGTAAGGAAAAACTGTTTCCTTAATGAACTGTTTCCTTTTCCAAAATGAGAGTTGGTAACCACAGGACACAGGTTTAAGCCAATCAGCTAAAGAACCAGAGCTGCTAAGAGAAGAAAAATAAATGTCAATGAGTAAACATGATCTGAAATGTATTGCCTGAGAGAGTGCAATAACTGATTCAAGCATGACATTCAAAAACGAATTAGATAAATATTTGAATAGAAACATTTGCAGGACATTGGGAAAAGAACAGGAGATTGAAACTAATTGGAAAGTTCCTTCAAAGAACTAGCACAGACATGATGGACTGAATGGTGTCCTTAAGTGCTATATCGTTGTTCCTGGGCTGTCTTTGTTCTTTATAAACACCAAAAGAACTGCGGATGCTGTAAATCAGGAACAAAAACAAAGTTGCTGGAAAAGCTCAGCAGGTCTGGCTTGGAGGTGAACTTACAGGTGGTGGAGTTCCCATGTATCTGCTGTCCTTGACCTTCGAGATGGAAGTGGTGGTGTGTTTGGAAGGTACTGTCTAAGGATCTTTGGCAAATTTCTGCAGTGCATCTTGTAGATAGTACACACCGCCACTACTGAGCATCAATAGTGAAGGGAATACATGTTTGTAGATGTAGTACAAATCAAGTGGACTGCTTTGTCCTGGATGGTGTCAAGCCTCTTGAGTGTCAGTGGAACTGCACTCATCCAGGCAAGTGGGCAGTTTTCCTTCACACTCTTGAATTGTGCCTTGGAGATGGTGGGCAAGTTTTTGGGAAGTCAGGAGGTGAGTTACTCAGAGAAGTATTCCTGGTCTCTGTCCTGCTCTTGAAGCCATTGTGGTGAGCCTAGTTCAGTTCCTGGTCAATGGTAACCACCAAGATGTTGATAGTGGGGGATTCAGTGATGTCAACATCATCGATTGTCAAGGAGGGTGCCTGGTTAGATTGTCTCTTATTGGAGATGGTCATTGTCTGGCATTTGTGTGGACAAATGTCAGTTTCCACTTGTCAGCCCAAGCCTAGATATTGCCCAGACCTTCTTGCATTTTTACATGGACCGCTTCAGTATCTGAGAAGCCATGAAAGTGCTGCACATCGTACAATCATTGGCGAACATCTCCGTTCCTGGCCTTATGATTGTGGGAAGACTATTGGTGAAGCAGCTGAAGATGTTTGGGCCTAGGACATTACCCTGAGGAACTTCTGCAGAGATGTCCTGGAACTGAGATGATTGACCTCCAACAATCACAACGATCTTCCTATATGCCAAGCATGCCACCAACCAGCAGAGAGCTTTCCTCCTGATTCTCATTGACTCAAGTTTTCTAGGACTCCTAAATGCCATGCTCAGTCAAATGTGGCCTTGATGTCAAGGGCTGTCACTCTCACCTCACCTCTGGAATTCAGCTCTTTTGTGCATGTTTGAACCAAGGCTGTAATGGTGTTATGAAGTCAGGAGCTGAGTGGCCCTGGCAGAACCCAAACTGGGCGTATGTTAGCAGGATATTGCTGAGCAGGTGCTGTTTTATAGCACTAGTGATGATACTCTCAATCATTATACTAATCACTAAGAGTAGACTGATGGGTGCTAATCGGTTGGGTTTGTCCTGCTTTTTGTTTACAGGACATATCTGGGCAATTTTCGACATTGTCCAGTAGATGCCATTGATGTTGCTGTAATGGAACAACCGGACTAGGAGTGCGGCAAGTTCAGATGCAGAAAATTTTCAATAATATTGCCAAAACGTTGTCAAGGCCCATTGCTTTTTACAGTACAGTGCCTCCAACCATCTTCTGATATCATGTGGAGTGAATAAAATTTGCTGAAGGCTGGCATCTGTGATGCTGAAGACCTCTGGAGGAGGTACTGCAGGTAAATAGACAATGCCTTGGCCATTAGTATCAAAACTAGCCGTACCAAAATGGATTCTAGACATAGTCTGTCAATGCAGATATTTTTCTACAGGTGCTAATGAAAATTACATTGTTTCATTAGTTTCTGTTAATAATTTAGGAAGTATTTTTCATTGAAATTGATAAATAATGGAGAATATCTGCCTAATTTTTGAAGAGCAGTACTAAGAATACTGTCCTTTCACTAAAGCGTGTAATCAGGAGTATGATAGTGGTAGATGGCTCTATAGCTCACTGTTGACTTCAAAATGATAGGATTCTTGTGGAGTCTTTCATATCAGTAACATTGTATCACCATATTAAATGAAATTAGCCCATAATTTTTCGCAATTCCCTATTCTACCCATAGCATATTCAGTGGAGCCATTCTTTACATCAAACAAAAATAGCCTGAGTTTTGAAATCTAATGGGTATTACATATTTCCATGTTATGCACTATCAGCAACTCAATCTTGTGTCCTATAAAATGATATTAAAGAAAGATTAAATGCGGTTGAACTTCACATTGGGCATTATGGTCAAGATGCAGTTATTGCATCAGCTGGCAGTCATATACCCTACCCAATATTCAAATCTATTGACTCCAATAAACTGAATATAAGGCAGAGCTCATGCGATGCTGTCCACCTTTACGCTCCTCCTAAGAAGTATTTCTCAATCAGTGAATTAACTGAAAAGTACCGTTCTGACTTGTGTCCATTTAATTATTAAATTTATTGAATAACAAAGACTTACAGTCAACTGGAAAACTCTAACATTTCATTTTCTTAGTTCTGAACCTCGTTTCTAATAAAACCTCACTAAGTTCCAAGATCATATGGTATCCTTTTTTTAAATCTTACTTACGAAATATGATATAATGTGACTAAGAAAACTGTAATTCAATTGTTTATTATGACTCAATCTTTTCTTAATATGTATTAGAGTTTTTACTGACAGCACACTTACATTCAATTGCTATGTAAGGATAGTAATAATGGTATAGGTAGTCGCTTGCATCATGCTAGTTTTATTAAACGCACCTACTTCTGAAAAATAATGAGAAGTCAAGATTTTAAACTATAGCATAGTTGGATGTATTTCACACATAAAGAAGTACTTATGCTATATTCGGCCATTCTTGGCATCTCCTATTGCTCCCCAAACATCAAAAACAAATTCATCTGGAAACGCAAAATCACCAAGGATTGAGTCCAGTGCTTCTGCAAACTCATCTGGATTCTTCTTGTCTTTTCCAGTTTCCACCATTGTTGCAGCTGGATAGAAAAACAAAATAAGGAGTAACTTGCTACATAATTAAGATGCAAAGGGATACTTCTTACATTTCACACCTTCTCATATACTTGGAACACATACATACTAAAGAGCAGCCTGATAGGTCAAAATTAAACTGATGTACCTTTTATTTTGATTATATATAAATAATAACAGAGCACGATATAAGATTGCTTAGCAACCGCTGGAATTTAAAAAGCATAATTATGATTTTATCGTAAAAACTAAAAGAACTGTGGATGCTGGCAATCAGAAACGAAAACAGAAATTGCTGGAAAAGCTCAGCAGTTCTGGCAGCATCCATGGAGAGAAATCAGAGTTAATATTTCAAGTCCTGAGACTATATGATTTTATCATGGTGCAGGGCTGGATGAACACAACAGGCCAAGCAGCACTGGCCTGCTGTGTTCATCCAGCCCTGTACCTTGTTGTCTCGGATTCTCCAGCATCTGCAGTTCCTACTATCTATGATTTTATCATATTTATTTAGCTGGTTATCCCAATGGGCATCATATTCTGATTAGAGTAACGACTCCCCAGCCCCCCACACTCCCCCATTCCCCACTGTTTTCCAGCCTATCCCATACTGCTATGATCTTTACAACCTGGTTCCACCTTCAATCCTTGGAGTCTCTTCTGCCCACCCTATCAAGAAATGCCCATATGGAATCACGGCATATTGTTCAGTGGGACACAGGGGTCACTGAGCTCTGAGGCAGGACCTTCTCCCCAGTTTGAAGCCAAAGGCCTATCTCCAGCCAACTAATGCCTCACAGTTTATTAAATGGCAGCAGAGCAGCCGTCGAGAGAGAGAAGGAATATGTTCCCCACAAATATAATCAGTGCAATGCAAGATCCCACCATCCAAACAATTCTGCTCGTAACAATTGTCACATTGTCAGGGCTCTATGTAATTGAACAGTGTGAGATTCGAGATTTTCTATTTTTATCTTATCAATTTTTTTAAGTGACATCATGTGGTGGCATAAATTGATAACCTGACTCCATTACTTTATGATACCTATATTAGTTCTCATAATATGAGGATGAGATGTAGATCACGTAGCATTGAAGAATTCAATGAAGTTTTATTATATCATTTGGTGTCTATATATGTACACTACAATCACAGACACTTGCATATCAGATTCAGACTACACATTCAAATGAACTGTAGCAGACTTCCTTTAGTGTGTCATGCTACAAGAGGACAGAGCTTAGTAAGATGGAGACTGAGAGCTTTATGTCCTTAGGTCACATGCCATGATAAATGATGACTTCAAGAGCACGTTCCTTAAAGGTATATCGCACATCTGCACAAAACACAACCCAACATAAATAGCAAGTTAAAAGAATTATTAACTCTTGGATTTCTGAGAAATAAGCAACTTGAATTAACATTGGACGTGCATATCACCCAAAAAGGTTTCAGTTAGTTGCTCATACTGTTGCTGTCATCAGTGACTCTTGAGAAGCACTCCTATCTCTGAGTCAGAACTTGAGCTTAAGTCACATTTCAAAAGCCCAAAGATAAGTTCCAGGCAGTTGCTCAGTGCAGTACTGAGAAAATGCTACACGAGTGGAGGTGCTATCTTTGGATGAGATGTTAAGCCGAGAGTCTTTCCTTTATTTCAATGTGAAAAATATGGCATTATTTGAAAATAAGAAAGACAGTTGATTTCATTGTCCTGGGAATAACCTATCCCTCAATAAGTATCACTAAAACAGGTAATCTGACTGTTTCTATGTTGCTGTTTATGGGAGCTTGCTGTGTGTAAATTGGTTGCTGCCATGTCACCTCCATCCTAACTGTGGCTATGATTCGATAAGTACATCATTGGCCTTAAAGCACTTTGGGACATACTAAAGTTGTTAAGACACTATAAATCTGTGGTCTACAACACCCAGAATGTTGATTAACAGGTCGATCTCAGAGTCTCTTTTGGTTGATCTCATCGTAGATACATAATTATCATGCCGCCACTTCATTTCCGCTTCCAGAAGTTGTGCAGTTAAAGAAAAGTGCATCTGCTTGACAGGCTTTGCGAGCTTGAAAGGTTGCTGAGCCTATCCTGTCCATGTGGACTCTCTGCAAGAGCACCAAAGCTAATCTCACTCCTCTGCCCATTCTCTTCAGTTGCTTATCTAATAGGTGGTGCAAGATCCAACTTCCAATGTCTGAGTAACACAAGCTGACCAGGGGACCTGGAAACGAATTGTGACCACAGAAGTGATCTCCAGTGCCTCCACACTTGAAAGCAACAGCAACATTCTAGATGTTCCAGAAGCACAGATCCAGAGGTCAACATGTAGCATGATCAGCGGTCGAGTGACATCACGGATTCCATGCTGACACACTGATGACAAGTGATGAACCTGAACCATCTGAAAAGAAATCACACATCTACAACTTCCACATGGAGTAGGAAGATGTATTTCTACAACTATAAAGGATAACAGCATTTGCCTCATATGTCACGAAAGTATGTCAATCAATAAAAAGAGGAATTTGGAATGGCATCATACTACAATGCACAGTTAATTCAAGGATTGTTTTCCTTTGAAGAGCAGGCTTCGGGCGAAGAAAGTTGACAAGCTGATGACCATTTTGAGCTCAATAGTCATTTTTTTTGAAGCTGCACCAAAGCATCATTTTGCGTTGGCCATATTCTGACAAAACACATGAATCCATTCACAGATGGCAATGTAATTAAAGAAACAATTACTGGAGCCACTGACTGTTTATTCAAAGACTTTAAAACAAAGAGAAATAATAATGGAAATGCACAGCACATCACTTGGTGCTTTCACAGGAGCAAGATGAGTGGAATCTTTGTCTGACAACAACTTTCAGCAACTATATCAGGACCTGAAGGACTGTGAAAGATTCACACTACAGTTCGATGAATCCATCAACACGACCAATACAGCACAGCTGATTGGTTTTGTGTGTATGGTTTTTAAGGACATAACAAGAAGGATAAAAATAAAAAGGATCTTCTCAGCCTTTTGCCCCTTGAAGAAAGAACAAGGGGTGAACATATCTACAATTAATTCAAAAGGTACATGCTTTAAAACTATTTCAATCATAATCGGTCATGCTTGGCATAGATGTGAGATATATTGTACATTGTAGAAATAATCTTGATTTCCCCTCTGTAAATTACCACTGCGAAAAGATAAAGTCACCATAATCTATCAGACCATATGGTTACTCTCTTATTAAGGAGAGACAACTGGTCATGGTTTAACCTGAGGGTTTCCATGCCTCAGGAGAGAGAAGAAGAATCTTTCATAGTAACCTCAGCTAATACAGGAATTGAACACTTACTATTGGCATTGCTCTACATTAGAGATCACGCATCCAGCCAACTGAGCTAACCAACCCTCAAGTACCATTATATAATCCACCAGCAAGCAAACCAAGTAAAGTTATAGATTTTATGTCCCATATAATGAAAGTTGTTTGTGAGATTGTAAACTCAATTCAAGCAAGAGCTCTTCAGCACCACTTGTTTAATTCTTTACTCAGCGAACTCAATGCTGCCAACAGTGAACTAATTCTTCGTGCCGATGTTTGGTAGTTAGATCGAAGACAGATCCAGTTGAACGCAGAGGCTGCAAAGACTTTTAGATCTGGTGTCTGAAATTGTCACTTCTCTTAATTCAAGAAATGAAGTGAGCTGTCAGACAATGCATGGTCACTTGACTTCGGGTTCCTTACAGACATTAATGCTGAACAAGCTGAACTGTGAACTTCAGGGAAAGGACGGAGACTTAACACAAACGATCAGTGCTGTGGATGCATTTAAATGGAAACCGGTTCTGTGATCCTTCCAATTAAAACAAGTAAAATGCTGTAACATTTCCCAGATCTGGAGAAAATATTAGAAAAACATAGACAAAGAGAAATGGTTCCATTCAGAAAATATCTGTGCACACCTAAGGAAGGTAACAGAGGAATTCAATTTTAAGAAGTAAATGTGATGGAACAAATTATTGCATTTGCCTCAAATCCATTCCTTAAGTAAACGTTGATGGTTTGGCCACCAAATTCCATCAGGTGTTTGACTTACAAAGCAGTGCAAAATTATATTGAGCTGAAAGTCAGATCATGTACGCTGCTGATTCTTGGGAACTCATATACGGAGAAAAATACCTGCCTCTATCATCTTATGCTTGTAAAATGGCTTACATTCGATCCACATGCCTCTGAAACAGCATGCTGTCAAATGAAGATAATGAAGTCGAAGTTTTGCACCTGCCTCACAGATACCCACTTGATGGACTGTATACAACTAACAGGCTCAACTACAACCCAGGCTTCAAGGCGCTGGCAGATAATATGTACTCACAGATGTCACACTGAGACTTGGTGAGTACAGGACAAATTGAATCATTCCATACGCTTGGATTAAATTTATAAAGCACTTATAAATTTTTTCTTAGGAGTTTATCTGAGTTGTACTTAAATTTAAAAAGTGAACTTGGGTTTAAAAAGGTTGAAGACCACATATAATGCAAACCTTTCTTATTGCTTTAATGTTTCTCAGTTAGTTCTCCAATTAATATAACATACGATCACAGCAGAGTATGGGACAACACATTGTGGAGCTGGAGGAACACATGTAGCATCAGAGGAGCAGGAAAATTGACATTTCGGTTCAGGACCCTTCTTCAGAAATGGAAAGGGGGAAGGGAGCTGGGAAATAAATAGACAGAAGACGGGTGAGGGCTGGGGAAGGTAGGTGGAATGGTGATAGGTGAGTGCAGGTAGGGAATGGTGAGGATTGGTCAGTGGGTTGGGTGGGCGGATAGGTGGGAAAGAAGATGGGCAGTTTGTGTCAGGTCAAGGAGGCGGGGATGAGAGGGAGGATCGGACATGGGATGGACATGGAGACCGCTTTATGGAGCACCTACTCTCGGTTATGACAAATGACAACACCTCCCAGTCGCGAACCACTTCAACTCCCCCTCCCAC